CCCAAGCGAACTAAAGGAGTAGAGGACAAACTGTACAAAACACAGAGTGACTCATACCCTGTAGCTACTCTAAAAATCTGGAGAACTTACACTTGAGTAGCCCCACCAGTCAATGACTTTGCCAAACAGCAGCTGACCTTTCAAGTGACATTTCTCAACATGAGTCTTCACTCCAATCAGCCTTGAACCTATGAGTCAGCCATCCTTTCCTCTTTGCTACCCCTAATCCATCAGGGAGACTTTCTACTTAACCATACTGGTATAACAGATATCACTGACTGCTTTCTTTGTGCCTACTTAAACCACTCCCTACTCCTGGCAGTTCCTCTCCCTTTAGGCTTTAATTGTACCATAATTCATTCTCCAGTAAACCCCATACCCATTGTTCCCCTGTTCATTCCAATGCAGATACCGACTATGCTCATTGCTGTATGTCCTCATCCATTTCCTCAGGCACCTGGAATACTGCCACAACTCTGTCAAACTCTGTATATTCCTCCTCTGGAGGATTTTCTGATGCAACTTAATTCTTTTCAAACATAGTAGTACCTCATCCCCACTCCCTTGTGTTCCGACCATATTAGTACCACAATTCATGATGTATGGGCATGAAGAACTTGCAGTCCTCCTTAACCCTCCTCATCGTTACTGCTCTAAAAAGGCAGTTTCCCCTTTCTGTACTAGTAGGAGTTTCTCTAGTATTCTGTCTTGTTGCTGCAGCTGTAAGTGGTGGAGGCCTAGGCCACTCCCTAGTTACTTCAGCAGATTTAAAACAACAACTACAATAGCCATAGACAACTCTGCCAACTCTTTGGCCTCTTTCCAGTCACAAATCACTTCTCTAGCTCAGGTAGTTTTGCAGAACAAACAAGGTCTGGACTTGCTTATAGCTGATAAGGGTGGCACCTGTATCTTTTCTTAATGAACAACGCTGCTATTATATCAATGCAAATAGTGTAGTAGAGGAAAACCTAGATACTTTACATAAACTCAAAGAAGAGCTATAAAAGGGAAGGAATCTGATAAATATACAACCAGGGTGGTGGCAGACTTCACTATTTTCATGACTAGCCCCAGTTCTTGGTCCTTTCTTAATGGAAATTTCTTTAATGCCTCTTCGGCATTAATGGTCATTCCCTGTTTTTTATATTTTTACAGAACCACATCCAGGAAACCAAATGTTGCTCCACCCATATTCCCAGCTCCCAAGTGAACCTCCTCTCAGCCCATCAACCATTCACCACCCATGTTCAGCAGAAAGTAGCCAGAGAGACTACATCACCCATGTATAACCAAAAAGGCTGGAATGCAAGACCACCTGTGAACTGGGACAACCTTCCACTCCAACTGCACCTTAAGGGAGATATTCCAATCAGCCCAGTGTCATATGGCTATAGCCTATCAGAAGAGACTACAACCACCAACCACATCCTGCTTGACCATCAGCCATGACACAATCCACGTAAAGGAACTGAGCAGCTCCATATTTGGGAACTAACATAGAGTGTCCAATCAGCATCCTCCACAGAGAGCTGACCACCAAGTTGACCACCCTACCCCCAACCACTTCCTATCAAATAGGGCCTGTCATTTCCTCACTTGTGACATTCCATTTCTAATTCTTCCTTCTGGCCTGGGACTGTGGAATTTCACCAGAGACCTCGTAATAAACCCTTAATTTCACTTCATCTCCTCTCCCAGGCCTTTTTACCTCACAGAAATGACCTGTTATTTGGAATGACTGGTGGCACAATTAAATCCAGGATTGCTAACCAGAAATCTGAGAGTTCAAACCAGCTGAGAGGTCTGTAGGTTGAAAGGCCTGGCCTTCCCTGAAAACCTTACAGACTGAGAACAACCCTGACACCCGCAGGGCCAGAAGGAGGCAAAAATCTAGAAATTGGTTCTGTGAGCAGCTCGCCAAGGGCTGTCCTGAAGGCTTCAGGGGGTAACGTGTCTAAAAATCTCCTATCTGAAGAGATGGTTTCCCATGTGTGTGGGGAGGAGCAGTGGCTCTGTGTGCTAAACCTGAGTCCTGAGATGAGCACATCCCCATTCTCTTTCTCAAGTCCAATCAAACAGGATGGATAAGATGGGACAAGGAAAGTGAGTGTCCTATCTGAGGGACATACACGAAGTAGGGAAAGGACTTTCCATTCTCCTGGAATCAAGACTGTTGGATCTCACAGAGGGTGAAATGACCAGTTCACACTACCTCCAAAGAGATAATCTTTGAACCTAACCTGACAAAACAGGCTTCCTGAAAGTTGTCTTTAAGTCAATCAGTGTTGCTGTTAGCTGCCTTCCAGTGGACTAAGACACATAACTCCGTGAATAACACACCTGAGTCTTGCCCTCTCCTGAGCCCTCCTCAGGATCTCAGAAACACTAGAGCCCATTGCCATATTTTTACCAGTGTGCTGTGTTTGTTCTAAGGACTGACTCCTCCTGACATCATGCTCAAAGGATGTGAGGTGGACAACAAGATAAAGGTAAATAATCCAATTGAAAAATGGGCACAGGATATGAACAGACTCTTCACCATAGAAGACATTCAGATGGCTAACAAGCACATGAAGAAATGTTCAAAATCACTAGCTCTAAGAGAGATACAAATCAAAACAACTATAAGATATCATCTTACCCCAGTCAGAATAGCAAAATTTAGCAGAAGAGCAAGCAACAAATGCTGGCGAGGTTGTGGAGAAACTGGAACCCTTATTCACTGTTGGTGGGAGTATAAAATGGTGCAACCACTGTGGAAGGAGGTATGGCGCTTTCTCAAAAAGTTGCAAATAGAGATACCATTTGACCAGCAATTCCACTACTGGGAATATACTCCAAAGAGACCATAACTGACATCCGAGCAGATATATGCACACCCATGTTTATTGTGGCTTTGTTCACAATAGCAAGGAGTTGGAAACAACTCCCATAAACAAACGAATGGATAGAGAAGTTGTGGTATATTCACACAATGGAATACTAAGCTGCATTGAAAAACAAGGAACTAATGCAATATTATTCAAAATAGGTGACCCTGGAGGACATTGTGCTGAGTGAAGTATCTCAGTCATAAAAGGATGAATACTACATGGTGCTACTGTTGTAAAACAGGACTGACATAGGGGTTGGAGGGAGACTGGGAAAGATGGGTTTAATAATGTATACTGAATTGAAACAGATAGGGGAGAAAACTGTTTAAAAGGGATATGTGATTAGGTATTTTTGTCATGACATGAGTCTAGAGTGAATGCTGCATAGTGGAGTGGACCTGGGGGAGGGTTTGTATAATAATGAAAGACTTTTTCTTTTACTTTTCCAAGAGCATAGTGTACTAGAGGGGAGGGTTGGGAGGGGAGAAAAGTGCAACAATGAATGAATGGAAACCCAAAGTCTCTGTACATTTTTACTGAAATTAATAATAAATTTAAATAAAACAAAACAAAACAAAATAATGTGAGGTGGATGGAGTTCCCCAATCTTACCTATCCAGTGCACTTCCTCCAGGACAAATTTGCCTGTTCTTTTGGCAACCCACAGAATATTAAGCACCCTTTGTCAATTCTTCTTTGGCCTTCCTTATTCACTCTCCAACTTTTAGATGTATAGAAAGCAACCCAAAATATCATAGACCAGGCACACCTTCATCTTTAAACTGACATCCTTGCTCTTTAGCATTTTGGAGGAGTTCTTGAAAGTAGATTCCTCCAATGCAACACTTTGGATTTCTCAGCTGCTACTATGATGAGCCACCACTCGTCTGTCAGTTTGTCATCCTGTAGTGGCTTGTGTGTTGCTGGAAACTGTGCTTTAAATACCATCAGGGTCACCCACGGAGGCCTGGTTTCAGCAGTTTCCAGACTAAGACCACATCTTTTGGGCATGTCATTGGGAGGAACCATTCCTCGGAAAGGGACACTGTGCTTAGAATCAGGGGTCAGAATCACTGACCACCATGCTGGTCAGTGGAAGAGGGTAGACCCCAAACGAGATCAACTGACACAGTGACTGCTGGAAGGGACTCACATGTGTCAGAGATGATGACGGCACAGGATGGGACAGAGTTCAGATCCATTGCTATGAGTTGTTATGAGTCATACCCACTTCGTTGGCATCTAACAACAACGGAAATTCTTATAATATAGATGTTTCTTTCTAGGAGCAGTTGGTGGATCTGAACTGCCTGCCTCTGGGTTTGCAGCACAAATCCTTTCCCACGAGGCCACCAGAGCTCCCTTACAAATTGAACAAGTATGAACAAAGGATACAACCTTGATGCACACTTCTCCTAATTTTAAATCATGCAGTATTGCCTTTAATTCTGTTTGTACAACTTTTAAAATATGGACTTGAGACAATCCCACCTGAATTTTAAAATCCATCTCAAGAATAGATTTGATCCTTTGACTGCTAAAGCCTGAAGACTAGATGAGTTATGGGTTGACAGCAAGGACATCGTCCATAAAGAAAGCCAGAGAATAGTTCAGATAATAGTGAAGCACTTTAGTCATGATCTGTCAAAGGAACATCTATGAACAACCTGCGGATGATTCTCCAGTCAGAAATGTTGTCCCGCGGCAAACTGTATATGACATAACCCCAGTCAGTTTCTGTCCCTGGGGAGGGAGTACTTCTTCTGAGCAGTGGAGTCCTCCTCCTCCTCCTCAGGACATAGGGAAGAGATACGGTGTGAGGACAGGGACACATCTCTCAAAAGGTGAATTAGGCTCCATTCCAGTTTTATTAGGCCCCTTCCAGTGGGGGCTCCCCACAGTCCCAGCCTGCAGCCTTGGTTTCCCACTGCTGGCCAGTTGTTTTCAGTTTCCCTGAGGAAGGGTGGGTGGGTGGAGGACAGAGGTAAGGGAAAGGGGCTGGAGACAGATCATCAGTGCTCCTTGAGGGTTGGGATGGGGCCTTCCTTGTCTCCACAGAGCCGGCCTGAGGGCCATCAGCCCGGTACTCCACAAATCCAAGTCCTGGACACTGGGTCCTACTTCCTACATGGGTGCTGTATGTCCGTTGGTCAGCCGTCCGGTCACACGGCTCCGGGGGCTGTCTGTGCTCGCTGACCCGTTCCTTAGCTGTGGATGCTTCTGGGTGGCCTCTTCCTCACTCAGGTCTGACTGCTCCACGTCACTGCGGATGTCCTTCTCCATCTGACAGACAGAGGACAGTGTGAAGCTCGAGGAGCGGGGCAAGGACTGGGGTTTGGGGGATCTGGTAGACGTACCTGGCCCTTCTTCACAAATTTAAAAACCACGCGCAGGATGAGGACCGACCAGAACACGTGCAGCAGCTGCAGCAGGATCAGGAGGCCGTTGAAGAAGTAGTAGGAGTTGGGGGGCACCTGGTTCATGATGGACTCATAGTACGTGGTGTAGAGGATCCTGTGACCAGAAGGGAGGGGTTGTCACCAGTTGCTTCCTCCCCTCCGGCTCCCACCTTGGCTCCTCGCTCCATCCCCAGCGATTCCTTCCTCCAGAACCATCTGTGGCTCCCTGCTGACTCCAGGATGACATTTCTACATGTCAGCCAGAAAATCCCAACTCATTGCTGTCAAGTGGATTCTGGCTCCTGGTTACCCACAGGTTATAGGATGGAACTGCATCATGGGTTTTTCTTAACTGTGGTCTCTATGCTAGTGGATTGCCAGGCCTTTCTTTGATGAGCCACTGCATAGGTTCAAACTGCCAACCTTTGGCCTCGCACAAACTGTATGCAAACTTAGCAAAATGCTTAAGCTCAGTTGATTCATAAACATCCATAACCGTAACCATGAAGCCCAAAAGGTGTTGATGATCCTGGTTCTCCTCCAGCGTGCCCATTATGCTGTCTGCCCTCCCCTCTACTCCCTCTCCCATTGCCCTAGACAACCTGTCTCTAACCTCAGCTACAATCAAGGATCCCTCTCCTTCTGATTATTTCCCACACCCTCTGGAACATCACCACCTTCTGCAAGCAACTACTTTCTTTTGAGACGCATTTTGGCTTCTTATTAGACCTTGAAGGAGGACATCATGATTGGAAAGGTAGAGGGGTGGCAAAGGAGAGGAAGACCCTCAGTCAGGCGAATGGAAACACTGACTGCAGCAGTGAGCTTGAGTTGTCAGAGATTGTGAGGCCGGCACAGGGTAGGACAGCGTTCAGATCTGTTGTTTACGGGAACCGTGTTCGACTTCATGCCATCTAACAACAAAAACAACTGGACCTAGCCACGAGATTGAAGGCCAAATCAAGTCACCAGGAGGCAGAGCTGCCCAGCATGGACCTACATTGTCTGGCCTACAGAATTACAAAGTTGGGAGTGCGTAGGAGCGCTCCTTCATTAAACAGAAGTGGAATTAAGTGAGACAGGGCTTGAGCAGGACCCGCAGATGCATGTAAATTGCATGCAGAAGTGGTCCAAACGCTCATGGCTCCCACTCGTTTCACATAATCTTTCCTCTCTCCATCTGTTCTTATTGAGGAATTCCTGGGATGTTCCTTACAATCAGAGGAGAAAGCTGCTACCTGGCCTTCAGGTGGTTCTGCACGATATACAGGAAGAGGACAGTGGCAACACTGCAGTCTCTTTTGGGAATGTTTTGAAAACAGTAACTAAAGAAAACGCAAACTCATTGCCGTGAGCCAGAATCAACTTCTAACCGCCTTCCCTCTTTGAGGTGCTATAAACTGTAAGGAGGAGATTGCCCCTCTTCTTGCCATGGAGCCACTGGTGAATTCAAACCAGCAGAGTGCTGCCTCTGGGTTAGCAGCACGACTCCATGGAGAACACGTCAGCAGGGCTTCCTTCAAGGATCTTCTCAATGGGAAGGACTCTGAGCAGGGCTCCTGGCTGCTCACTTTATTTGGATGGAGACCTACGACATGGCTAGATACTAATTTGTGGACTGTGGTGACTAGTATGGGCTGGATGATCAGGGACTTGGGAGGAAAATGATTGGAGAATTGGTGTGAAGGAGGTGCAGGGGACAAGTACGGATAGACTCCTCTGAACGGATCAAAGAAATGAAGATACTTGTGTTTCCTGTGGACACTCATCAGAAGACGACCTGAGCAATCAAATGGATAGGCTGACACATTCCCTGAAAAACAGTTATCTTTTTTCCAGCCACACTTGTCTTTGTCCAAAGGGCCGATGAATCAAATGTTCACGGTAGAAGGTGTGAAGCCTATGCACAGGCTCACCAACATGGGTCTGTACTCAGCAGGGCTGACTACTCACCAGAACTGACTTAGTTACAGTCACTTCTGAAGGCCCCAGCTGCCAGCACCAAAGACCAATGAGTTCTGGTGAAAGGTGCAGACGTAACGTGGACAAGGCTGAGTCTAACTGCTACCCACTTCATAAAAGGGAAGTTTCCTCATCAATGATATCTATGTTGTTGCTGTTGTTGTTGTGAGCTGTTGAATTGCCTGTGACTCACAGTGACTCTACGTACAACAGCTCTGAACACTATGTGATCCTGAGCCAGTCACACTGTCTCTGACAAATATAATTCCATTGCCCCAGTTAGTGTGTCAGTGCATCTCACGCTGGGTCCTCCTCTCCTGCGCTGTCCCTCCACCCTTCCAAGCATTATGTTCTTCTCCAAGGACCAGTACCCCCTGGTCACATGTCAAAAGTGTATGAGATGGAGTTTCAAAATACTTGGCTTCAAGGATCAAGTTGTTTTCACCCTCTCCAAGACAGACCTATTTGTTCTCCTGGCAGTCCATGGTATGTTCAAGACTCTTCTCCAGCACCACAGTTCATAGGCATTGATTCTTCTCCTGTCATCCTTAGTCACTGTCCTGTTCTCTGATGCATAGCATGTCATTGTGGTAAATATGTGGTCAGACATGCCATCTCACATGCTCCTGCACCTTTTGCAATTTGTGTCAGAATAAGTAGGATTTGGTGGCTCCAAACTAAAAGAACATGGTTTGGTTTTGTAAATGTGGGGTTTGGAAAGATGTGCATGCAAAATGGTTATAGTTTGTTTCTAAAAAAGGAGAGAGGCAAAGAAAATCACACACTGCAAGTCCAGTTGTAGTCCACCAGTTCCAAGCCAGATTAACAGGGCACCTTTCCTCATCTAGTGAAAGTCTACATTCCATTGAGCAGCACAAATGCAAGAAGCCTCTGGTTTCCTCAATCATTCGCCCATCTTTATCTCAAAGCAGTTACAAGTCAGCCTTTCCTTCAATCATCCAGCAAGAAAAATTTTTAACTGTGGCTCCTTCTCCAGGGTTCCTCTAGTTACACCTTGCCAGGGTCTCTTCACAGCAGTGCTACAGTCTGTTCATCCTCTCTCCACCACCATCATCTCACAGTGTCTTCACAGTCCCTCACAGTGTGGAAAATGCTCACTCTTATATTGGTCCCTCAGCTGTTGATGATTTCAAGACCGTGTGCCCTCAGTTAAGATAGTCAGAGACCATGTTCCCCAACAGGGGCTAACACAAGGACTGTTGTTATTGTTATGTTCCATCGAGTAGCGTGTGACTCATAGTGACCCTATGTACAAGAGCCCTAAACCCTGTTCTATCCTGTGCCAACCTCACTTGTCCCTGACACACAACACATCTACTCCCACTACCTCAATCACTGAATCAATCCATCTTATCGAGGATCTTCCTCTCCCGCGCCGGTCCCTCCACTCTCCCAAACATCATGTTCCTCTCCAAGGACTGGTTCCTCCTTGCAACATGCCCAAAGTATGTCAGATGAAGCTTCAGAACACTTGATTCCAAGGAGCAGCCCCGCTTCATCCTCTCCAGAGCAAACCTGTTTGTTCTCCTAGCAGTCCATGGTGTATTCAACACTCTTCTCCAGCACCACAGCTCAAAGGCATCAATTATCTTTCTATCATCCCTAGTCACTGTTTAGCTCTCTGATGCATAGCACGCAATTGCAAAGACTATAGCCTGGATCAGGTGCACCTTAGTCTCCAGCCTGACGTCGTTTCTCTTCAGTACTCTTGAGAGGTCCTTGACAGCTGAGTTTCCCAATGCAATTCATCTCTTGATTCATTTCCTGACTGCTGATACCAAAGGTGTTGACTGTGGAGCCAAGCAAATTAAAACTGTTAACTATCTCAATCTCTTCACTGTCCATACTGATGCTTCCAATTGGCCCAGTGGTGAGAATCTTTGTTTTCTTGATGTTGAGCTTCAATCCATATTGAAGGTTGCAGTCCTTGACCTTCTGCAGCAAGCACTTCAAGTCATCCTCAGTTTCAGCAAGCAGGGTTCTGTCATCTGCATAACGCAGGTTGTTGATGACTCTTCCACCAGTCCTGATGCCACATTCCTCCTTGTACAGCCCAGCGTCCCAGATGATATGTTTTGCATACAGATTGAAAAGGTTTCGGAGACAGAATACATCCCTGGCAGACTCCCTTCCCAATTTTGAACCACAGAGTCTCTCCTTGCTCTGTTCTGACAAGAGCCTGTGGTGATTAAGGAGGAAGTTCAAGTTGCTCTGAAAGAATTGGCAAAGAACAAGGCTCCAGGAGTTGATGGCATACCAATGAACATATTTCAACAAACAGATGCTGCCCTGGATGTGCTCTCTAAGTTGTGCCAAGAAATCTGGAGGATAGCCATCTGGCCAACTGACAGGAAGAGATCTACATTTGTTCCCATTCCAAAGAAAGGTGACCTGACAGATTTAGGGAAATTATCAAGCAATATCATTAATATCACATGCAAGCAAGGTTCTGTTGAAAATTATTTAAAAATGACAAGAGCAATACGTCAACAGAGAACTGCCAGGTGTGCAGGCTGAGTTAGAAAAGGTCTTGGTACTAGGGATAGTATAGCTAAGGTTAGATGGATCTTGGCAGAAAGCAGAGAGTACCATAGGAATGTCTATCTGTGCTTCCTTGATTATTAAAAACTTTTGACAACAAGCTGTGGTTGACTCTGAAAATGGGAATCCCAGAACATTTGATTATGCTTATGCAAAACCTATACTTGGACCAAAAGGCAGTCGTAAGAACAGAGCAAGGAGATTCAAGGACTAAAAAAAGCCCATTTTCAAGGATTGAGACACCATAGCCACCACTAGGGAACCATTCCTCGGAATGATCAGCCAATAACTTGGTGTCAGGTTGGTTATATTGAACAGCTTCCAGCATGGAAAGGGCAGTGTTTTGTTATTACTGGAATGGATACTTATTCTGGATCTAGATTTGCCTTCCCTACATACAATGTTTCTGTCTAAACCACCTTCCGTGAGCTCACAGAATGCCCTATCCATCATCATGGCATCCCACACAACACCAGTACAGATCAAGAGACTTGTTGCAAACCAAATTAAGTGTGGCAATGAGCCCATACTCACGAAAGTCACAGGTGTTACTTTATTTAACATAATCTTGAAGCAGGTGCCTGGATGGAATAATGGAATGGTCTTCTGCAGACACAATTACCGTGTCAGTTTGTTGTTACTGTTATGCATTGTTGAGTAGACAATGACTCATAGTGACCCTATGCACAATACCTCTGAATCCTGCTCTGTTCTGATGCAATCTCACTGTCTCTGACACACCTACCCTCATTATCCTAGATACTCTGTCATTCGATCTCAGCCGGGATCTTTCTCTCCTACGCTGTTCCTCCAACCTTCCAAGAATGATATCCTTTTCCAAAGACTAGTCCCTCCTGGCCAAATGCCCAAAGTATGTGATATTGTTGTTATGTGCCATTGAAGTTTGTGACTCTTAGCTACCCTATAGCAGCTCTGAAGCCTACTCTTTCCTGAGCCAGTCTCACTGACTCTGATACACAACACCCATTGCTCCAGTTACTCTATCAATCCATCTCATCTGGAGGCCTCTCTCTCCTGTGCTGTCCTTCCACCCTTCCGAGCATGATGTCCTTCTTCAAGGATTGGTCCCTCCTGGCCACGTGCCCAAATTATGTGAGACGGAGCTTCAAAATCCCACCTCCAAGGAGAATCTTTGTTTCATCCTCTCCACAAAAGACCTATTTACAGGGTCTCAAAATCTTTGCCTCCAAGGAGCAGCTTGGTTTTACCCTCTCCAGGACATACCTATTAGTTTTCATAGTGATCGATGGTTCAATACCCTTTTCCAGCACCATACCTCAAAGGTATCAATTCTTCTTCTGTTATCTTGGGTCATTGTCCATCTCTGTGATGCATAGCAAGTAACTTGCAAAGACGATGGCCCGGATTAGGCACACCTTAGTCTCTAGACTTACATCCTTGCCCTTCAACACTCTGGAGAGGTCCTTGACAACTGATCTTCCTTAATGTAATTGGTCTTTTGATTTCCTGACTGCTGGTGCCAATGTGATTGTAATATGTAGGGTTGGTGTAATATTCTCCAGGAGCTGTATGTGCTCTAAACCAGCATTGAATATATGATGTTGTTTCTCTAATAAACAGAACTCATGAGTTCAAGAACCAAGGGGTAGAGATTGGTGTAGCACTATTCACTTTTACTCCCATGACCTGCTGTCAGAATGTTTGTCTGCCATTTTTCCTGCTGATCTTGCGTTGTTTAGTTCCTGTAAGTATGTTAGGAAGCTCTGGTGGCATAGTCCATAGGCAATGCACTGCCAACCCAAAAAAGAATTGTCACTTGAGCAGTTCAAATCTGTAGGGTCAAGGGTTCATTGTTCTAAATGGCTTTCCTAGGCATTGACTTTGACTTTGCTCCATGGTTGGGTGGGGCCATACAAATAGGGTGTCTTAGTAGTCTATCCACAGAGAGATTGGCTAGTCTTCTCAGCCTACTGGATTTAAATTCAGCCATTTCAGTGGCAGAAATTGGGATGCTCAATACCAACAAGGAAAAGAAAATAAAGTGTATCCTTTGGGACCAGAGATTCCTGTCCCAGCTGACTGGGATCTACACAGAGCAACATCAGCCTCAGCAGAGGACCAGGGACGCAACCTGAAATAGAGCTGATTCGGGACTGTAGCTCCGTGGAGCCAGAGCCAGAAGTCATCACCCAGGCTTGCTGGAGGACTTCGGGAACTTTGTAACACTGCCCAAAGCTGTGAGGCCACAGCCACTCTTGAGAAGCTATCTGGACTGAAGAATGGTATCCGCCTGCCCTAAAAATCCCCATAACTGTGAACTTGGTTCTGGGAAGTCTGTGTCGTCACTGCAATGGGCTTCAGACCCAGTGGACCATCAAGATTAGTGTTGGAATTAGTAGAAATAGGTGCAGCAGCATGAGAGATCATGGGTGACCTTAAGGGGATTAGTTTTGCACTGCGAATGTTGATGGGAGCAGTTCCTCTTTGTGGAGTTAGTAGAGGTCAGACACGGCTGTCTCCACGCTGCCCACACTCATTTTACAAAGCACGTCACCAGCTTTTTGGGTGAAAGACAGACGTTTTCATCCTTTGCAAGGGGCAGCCTTTGAAATCCACTAGAGAGTTGGCCCTGGTGGGTTCCAGCTCCACAGCAATGAGTGTGGGAGTGACAGGTGTGTGATCAGGAAAGCTCCCAGTCTGATGTCGACTTGGGAGCCTCTGTAAACACACGAGCCATTTCTTTGGGATAAAGCAATCTCCTCTGTCCCCACTTTCTAAGTTTCACACATTTTAATTCTCTAGAAACTCTAACTTACCTATATCACCCACCCAGAGTCAAGTCTACTAGGGCAGGAACATCCCCCCCACCCCTCCCCGGCACTTCTGTTACGTTGTCCCAGTGAACACAGTCAAGAGGCTCAGCACTGCCAGGTGAAATAGGGCCACAGTGCCCTATCTTCCCTCCACTCCTTCCCAGTGCTGTCTCTCTGCCTCTGGCTCTTTTCACATGCTGTGCACCGCGCCAGGAACACTCTGCTGCCCCCCTACCCCGCACCATCACTCTCAGGGGCTGAAGGGAAGGCAGCCCGGGGCCTCCGCTCTCCTCTCTCTCCCCGTTGCAGGAGCGCAGACTCACTTTGTGGGGAAGAGCACTAGCCGTGTGTAGATGAAGACGACGGAGAACGTAAGGAAGACCACGTGGCATGAGCGACTCCAACTTAAGTAGTTCAGCATTTTAGCAGCCTGGGAAGCAGATGAGAGGAGCAGGCTCAGGGTGGGACCCAGGGAGGGGCGGGGCCACATCAGGAGGGGCGGGGCCACATCTCAGGAGAAAGCCGAAGGGGTTGGGGGGGCCAGCTCAGGGGGGGCTTGTCTTTAGGATCTGGTCAGAAAGGCAAGGCAAGGAAGGAACTACAGAGTAGAGATGGAGAGGGAGGTGGGGGAGCGAAGCACCCTCTAGACGCAGCTGTGAAGCGCTTGTTGGTTAAGGTGGGTGATGAAATCCTGCTCAAATGGAAGATGAAGCCTTTCACTGCCTGTTAAGATTTAGGACCTTGCATATTCAATGGGGATGTTTATTCTGTCACAGAGTCACTCAGAGTCATGACTGACTCTAACAACTGCATTTCGTTTCGTTTTGGTTTGGTTTGGTTTTGGTGCAATCTTCCTGAGAAGCAAGGGAGCTCTGGCTGTCTACTGAACCACCAACCCAAAGGCAGGTGGTTCTAGTCCACCTGCTGCTCTGTAGGAGAAAGACAGGCAAGCTCCTTCCACACAGCACCTTCCATTCTTCCTTCCTGGCTTACAGCTTCTGAAAACCCATGCAAGGTCAGCCATGACAAGCCGGTTCTGACTCGAGGGACATAACAATAACAACCCTGGAGGAAACGCTTCTCCAAGATAAACTGTAGCTAGGGTAGCCTCACCTGCCAAGGGAACTTCAAGGACAGCTGGAGAACAGAGGAGAGAGTGGTGTGTGTGTGTGTGTGTGTGTGTGTGTGTGTGTACAGCAGCCCCACCTCCAGCAGGTAGTCAGAGGTTTCATGCAGCAGCAGCACCAGGGAGCCGATGCGCAGAAGGTTACAGCTGTAGGAGAAGGTGACCAGGAAGATGGCCAAGACGTGGTGCACCACCTGCTCCTTGAAGTCCTGCAGGAAACACGGGGACAGGGCTGGATGGCACAAGGCAGGCATTCCTGGGGGCTGGTGCCCCTGGACTCCAAAGACACCCAGGTATGGTGTTCAGGGGTGTCTAGGGGCTGGAGGGGGGGGCTTGTGAATTCAGCCCTCTCCCCTTTCTGCTCCTGGTCACTCCCCCAGCCCCGCGCTCTCTGGTCTCACCTTGCGTTTGACATCAAAGGGCAGCGTCATCAGTAGGGAGATGAAGAAACCCAGCTCCAGGAGGTACCACCAGTACAGGAGGGGCTGCAGGGGCTGGGTGGGGCAAGGTTAGCTTCGGGGAGGTGCCCTGTAAACCCCTCCCCGTTTTCCCCACCCTGCGCACTCAGATCCTCTCTGGTGAGGGTGAAGTGGGCACCTCATCCCTGGAGGTAATCAAGGCCAGTGTTTTTTGGGGCAGCTTCTGTTCCTACTATCCAGGCTCCATTCTAAGAAGTATTCACGCACAGGCTGAGAGCACAGCCCCTGCACCTCAGGAATCTGACTCCTAGCACACCGTTCAACCCTCCTCTCCTCCTTCCATGAGCCTCCCACGTGCCGCTCACCTGCTTTGGGTAATTGTCCCAGCATAATGATGGTGTCCAAAACCAGGGCTCCTGCAGAGAAACCTAGTCTGCTTCTGCCACCAGCACCGCGCTCAGTCCCACTTGTCGTCTGGCAGTGCAGGAGCCACTTTTATATCTGACACTCCCCCACCCACCGGGCTTCATTCCTGCAGGGTCTCCAGCAGAACACAGCAGGTCCTCAATAAGTGTCTGCAAGTGGACCACCACCAGGACCCCAGAGCGCTCCTTATGTCTGTACATGCACTTTCCGAGGTGTGCACCCCTCTTCCACGCCATGCCAAGCTGGCGCCCAGTCAGTAATCGTGGGACAGACAGATGAGGCAGGTAGGAGGACAGGGGTCATACTCACGTGGTACAGGACCGAGAGGCCACCCACGAAGGCACACAGATAGAACAAAAATCTCCAGCTGCAGGAGGGGGAGCCCATGAGGAAGTGAGGGTGCTGGCGCACCCCAGCACCCCCAGACCTGCCCCTGAGTCCCAGCCCCACCCTCACCTGGCCTCACAGAACTTCTTGCTGAGCTGAGGCTGTTCCTGGTTCCAGCGTCGCCTGAACCACCGCTGGGTCTGTCGCAGGGTAAGGCCACACTGGGTGGCCAGGAGGGCCAGCTGGGGCTGCAAAGGAAGAGGTGACAGCCCTGGGGCCCCAGGATGGCTTGTGGTCCCATCCCAGGACAGGCAGGACCTTCCAGCTCTGAGGACTGAGGTGGGCCGAGGTCCTGGGTTGGAGCCTCATCCTGCCCTCCTCTCCCACCTAGACAGAACTCTGTCCTTCAGGGACACCCAGAGCACTGAGGGGCCTGGGGGAGGGGCTGGATAAAGGACCCCACAGACACATTCCTACATGCCATCTAGAAAGTCAGGGTCCTCCCACCCCCTGGGAGCAGACAAGGAACCACAGAGTCTCCTGACTCCACCCCCACCCCCAGGTACAGAGACCTTCTCCCACCCACTCAGGACCCAGCCAAGACCCCACCTAGGGTGGCACCTACACCCATGGGTGAGAATGGAAAGAGGACATATCCAGTTCTCCCCAGGGACAGAAGAGAAACCTGCCCACTCCTAGGGCGTCTGAGGGGGGCCCACCCGGGCTGGATGGTGGGGCTCTGGGAGTGCTGGGCAGCCAGGCAGCACCCACCTCCTTGGGTCTCCGGCTCTGTGTGAGGAAGTATTTCTCCAGTGTGGGGTTGGGTGTCACTGGCTTCCGGATTCGGTCCTGCAAACCCAGCCACCGGCTCAGGGGCAGCGCCACAAACCTGGAGTGAGGGACAAATGTCAGGCCATGGAGCAGGGACAGGGGCTGAGGGGGAGCATGCTACAGATGGGGAAACAGGCTCAGAAGGGTCAGGGAAGCCCAGCGGTAGGTGGCAGCATGGAAGGTTTGGGATCTTTCTTCTCCACCAGTGGGACAAGGTCTGACAAACATCCCACGGCTGATCCCAACGTTGCGCCCTGGAGCCCTGGGGAGACTTTTGGCTGCACCAGACCAAACCCAGAGACGTGCGTCAGGTGGTGCCAAGAGTGTCAGAGGACGATGGAGCTCAGAGGACCTTCAATAGCTAGGTTTGGGGAAGGAGATTGCCAGGCCTTTCTTCTGTGGAGCCTCGGGGTAGACTTCAACCTTCAATCTATTGGTTAATAGCCTAGTGTAATCTGTTGGTTAATAGCCCAGTGTCTCCACTGCACCACTAGAAGGGACCCCCGTGGAAAAAGAAAGACTCAGCCCTGCAGGTCCTGGACCAGTTGGGAAAGTAGTAAGTGTCCACAGGGGGTCTGCCAAATAGGACAGAGGTGTTTCCTGTTCTGGTGGCACAGTGATTAAAGCACTCAGCTACTAACTGAAAGATTAGTTGTTCAAACCCTCTAATCGCTCTGCAGGGGAAAGTGAGACAGTAAAGTCAGTACCCAGGAAACCCTGTGGTCAGCACCACTCGGTCCTGCAGGGTCAGGGTTTGGGCTGGGATCAGTTCAACCACACCCACCACCACCAAATAAGTGCAGCTTCTCGGGCTTCAGGATGGGGGTGCTAGGGCTAAATCCTGGGGGTACCATTCACCTGTGTTTTTCCCAAACCATGGAGGGGGACACCCCCCCCCCCAGCCTGACCCCTGGTGGTGTGGCTCCTGATCTGGCACCCCTTGGACTAAATCATGGCTATTCACAATACTGACCATTAGGGGGCGCGCAGGACCACAGGTAAAGACCAAATTTAAGAAAGCAGCAGAATAAGAAAAGGCTCAGATCTATTGATAGGGTGTCTACAAGTTACAGTCGACCTGATGGCACCTAACATCAATATCATCGTTTCACCTGGCACATGAGGAAACTGAGGCCCGGGGCAGCTCATCAAAAGACTCATTCCAGACTCGGTGGTATTGGCAGAGAACGAATGCTCTGACTCAATGAACTTTTTCTCTTTAACTCCTTTATCATCGTCCCCATCATCCTGATGGAAAAGTGAGGCTCAGGGGGACCAAAGTCGTGTCTCGGGCCACACGGAGAGAGAATGAATGGTTGACCCTGAATTCAAAGTCAGAGGTAATTTCCCTTTACCAAGAAGGAAAAGTTCCCTGACAGTGTTCTTTCCAGGCACGAGGGATGCCTCTGGAAGATGGTAGTAGCCCGGTACCCGCCTGAACGGGGAGCTGGTGAGCTACATTCAACATGTAACTCCTCCCCATCCAGCGTGGACCTGGGCCCAGTTCTGTGTTGACTCATCCTTGGGATTTTCACCTTTCAGAAGTAGATCATCAGGTCTTTCATCTGAGGTGCCCTGAGTGCACAAGAACCTCCAATTTTTTAGTGATGCTTTGAATGTGTTAACCATTTGGAGCGCTCAGGGTTCTAGAAGGCCTCAGGATTGATGGCTATGGGGACTGGGGGAAGGAGGAAGAAGTCCCGTGGGGGGGGGGTGGACCTTCAGGGTGTGAGGAAGACATCAGAAAAGGACTGAAAATAAAGAGGTTTGGCAATTTGCAGTCTCAGGAACCTGGTGCCCTTGGGTGGTACAAATGGTTTAGTGCACAGCTACTGACTGACAGGTTGGTAGTTCAAATCCACTTAGAAAGGTGTCACAGAAGAATGGGGTGGCTGTCTGCCTCTGAAGCCGTATAGAACACAGTCTTTTTTTTTTCTAGAACTTAATTCACTTTATTTGTTATAGAAAATCCACTAAGTGGTTAGAACACAGTGTTTAACATGGGAGACACTGGAGAGCATTATGCTAAGTGAACTAACTCAGTCTTATAAGGACAAATATTGTATAATAAGATTATTGCAGAAATAGAGAACTGTTAACACGTGTTTGAGGATCTAAGGGGGGAGGGAGCAGCAAAGGGGTGGCAATGGGCGGGGGGTAATCTGGGGTCACACGGTTTGATGAATGGAGGGGGAGTGGGTTGGAGAAGTGGAGGGTATCTGGTTTGAAGGGCAATGTATACAAATTTTGTAGGTAAACCCGTGTAAAATTTAAAAAATAAAGAAAGAAAACAAAATCCCTTCAGAATGTAGTTCTACTCTGCCACTCGGGGAACCAGGAGTCTTGAGCTGACTAGATAACAATTGGTTTCATTTTGGAGAGGTTCTTTGCAGGGCAGGTGGAGGGTCTGGGCCAGGGTGTATTTATAGAGATGGTACAGGAGCTGGTCAGACCATCAATTACTCATGTGCAAGTTCAAACTGAGGCTGAAGAAAATGAAAATAAGTTCACAAGAACCAGGATGTGATCTTGAATAATCTATTCCATCTGAATTTCAAGATCTTAAGAAAACGTGTGAAGCATTGAACAGTAATAATCAAGACCACATGAGTCCATGGAAAAAGCAAAACGTCATTATGAGCCAAGAAGAAAAAGCCAACATGAGTTCAGATGAGATTCTAAAAATAGCACTCGCGTGTCGAAATGCCAAAACAAAGGGAAAATATGACCAAGCAGAAAAGCTAAATGGAAGAGTGCAAAGGACAGCTTGAGAAGACAAAGTATTATAATAGAATGTGCAGAGAGCTGGAATTGGAGAATAAGAAGGGAAGAACTCGCTGTGCATTTCTCAAGCTGAGAGAACTGAACAACAAATGTAAGCCTTGAGTCACAATATTTAAAGATGCTATGGGCAATATATTGAATGACCCAGAAAGCATCAAAAGAAGATGGAGGCAACACACAGAGTCACTGTACCAGAAGGAACAAGGAACCGACTGACACTGAAAAGTTTCAGGAAGTACCATACGAGCAGGAGCCAATAGTAATGATGGAGGAAGTGGGAACTGTACTGATGGCACCAGCAAAAAGATAAGGCCTCAGGCATCAATGGGATACCAGCTGACTTATTTCAATTAACAGATGCAACCCTGGATGCACTCGGCAGTCTATGCCAGGAAATTTGGAGGACGGCTATAAAGCCTACGAATTGGAAGGAGTCCATGTTTGTTCCCATTCCCAAGAAAAGTGATCCAACAGAATGTGGAAATTATTGAATATTATCATTAATATCACTTGCAAGCAAAATCCTGCAGAAGATACTTTAAAAAAACAGCTAGGTGAGTGAAATATCTCATTCACACAGGGACAAATACTGCATAGTGCCACTGTTGTAAAACAGGAATGACATCGGGGTTCGGGGGAGACTGAGAAAGAAGGGATAAATAATGTATTTTGCATTGAAACAGACGAGGGAGAAAACTGTTTAAAAGGGATATGTGATTAGGTATTATTGTCATGACAAGAGTCCAGAACGAAGGCTGCATAATGGAGTGGACCTGGAAGGAGGGATTGTAAAGCAATGAAAGAATTTTTCTTTTACTTATCAAAGAGAAGAGTGTCCTGGTGGGGGGCGGGGGAGGGATGGGCAGGGAAAAAAGTGCAACAATGAATGAATGGAAATCCAAAGTCTCTAAATTTTCATTAAAATTAATAATACTAAAAAAATTTAAAAAAACAAATTAACAAAAAACCGGCTAGAACAGTACATAAATAGGGAACAGCCAGAAGTTAAAGTAGGATTTAGAAGAGGCCACAGACATTTACTGATGTCAGATGGATTCTGGCTGAAAGTAAGGAATACCAGAAGAATGTCTATTTTTGTTTCATTGACTGTACAAAGGCATTTGACTGTGTGGATCATGACAAGTTAGGGCTAACACTGAGAAGAATGGGAATCCCAGAGCACTTAACTGTGCTCATGCAACACCAGTGCCTAGACCAGGAGGCTGTTATGTGAACCAAGCAATAGAACTCTACACGATTTAAAATTAAGAAGGGAATGTGTCAGGGTTGTATTCTCTCTATATATTAATTCAACCTGTATGCTGAGCAAATTACTTGAGAAGCTGGACTATATGAAGAGGAATGTAGCATCAGAATCAGATGGAGACTTATCAATAACCGGTGGTATGCAGATGATACAACCTTGCTTGCTGAAAGTGAGAATTTGAAGCACATTTTGCAGCTCAAAGAATACAGCCTTCGATATGGTTTGCATCTCAATATCAAGAAAAGAAGGATTCTTATCACTAGGCCAATAGGCAACATCATGATGGATGAATAAAAGATTGAAACTGTCAACAACTTTGTCTTAGTTGGGTCCACAATTATCACCCTTGGTGCCAGCAGTTGGGAAATCAGAAGACATATTGCTCTGGAAAAGTCTGCACTTAGGCCCCTCTCCAATTATTGTGGGTAATGATGTCAATTTGAGGACAAAGGTGCCTCTGATTCAGGCTGTGGTCTTTCTAATCTCTTGCTGTGCATCTGAGAGCAGGGCAATGAATAAGGATGATAGAAGAAGGAAGAATCGATGCCTTTGAACTATCACGATGGAGAAGAGCACTGAACATTCCAAGGACTGTCAGCAAACAAAAAAATATGTCTTGCAGAGGGTGCAGCCAGAGTGCTCTTTGGAGACAAGGATGATGAGGCTTCACCTCACAAAATTCGGGCATGTTACCAGGAGGGGTTGTTCTCTGGAAGGGCCATGATGCTCAGACAGGTGGAGGAACAGCTAAGGAGGAAGACCATGGACTAGGTGGATTGACACGGTGACTGCCTGGATGGGCTTGTATGTGTCAGGAATGGTGAGGATGGCACAGGGTAGGACAAGGTTCAGATCTGTTGTTGATTGGGTCACTATGGGTCGTAATGTACTTGATAGCACCTAACAACAACAATGGGAGCTGGTGAAGTTCAAAGACAATAGCCTTCAGTGCGGGTTGTTGTCTTTGTTGTTAAGGGCCGTGAAGTCGTAGACGATTCATAGCGACCCTCTGAATGAAAGACCTGAACACTTGTATAACTTTCATTATTTCTCCAAGTTCATAGAGTTTCTGAAGGCAAGCTATTTCGGAAGTGGATGCCACTTCTGTTTCCAACCTTGTTTTAATTGGGAAGCACCACCAAACACTGTCCACCATGGGTAACCATTATCACATTTGACACATCAATATCACAGTGTTTACTATCAGAGCAACTACAAGTTACCTCTGCACAGCAAATGGACAGACCAGTGCTATACCACTTAGAAGAATGTTTGACCAAAAACAATTAAAACCAAGCCTGTGGGCTATAGATTAAAAATCACCTTTGGTTTGGTGGCATAACTTTCTATCCACTAGGCCCACAGAGCTCTTTCGTTGTTGCTGTTATTGTTAAGTGCCATCCAGTCATAGATGACTCATAGCGACCCTATGAATTAAATACCTGAAAACTTGAACACGGTCTACCCTAATCCTCACCACAACCAGAAAACCAACCTCTGTAGGATCTGGCTGATCCAGACCACTTCCATCCTGGATTCCAGCTCCATACTGCTGATCAAATGCATTTTTAAATAGGAGGCCAAATAAAATGAACTCACACCCAACGGTAAGCAAACAGTCCACCCTAATCTTCACTTAGACCCAGAAAACAAAGCTCAGCAGAAACAAAGCTGAAAGCAGTAGTAAAGTTTGGAAAAACCTGCCCATGAACTGCTTAGCCCAATCCACATATAATTCCTTTCAACTTTCAGTAGTAAAAATGTAAACTTTGAAAACTTTTTCCTTTCACCTTCTAATCCTAAATTAATAGAAATTTTTACCAGAGTTAGCCCGAGTTTTCTTTTTTAAACTTAATTGCATAACATCCTAATTGCTCTACACAGATTGCTTCTCAGGTAAGAAATTCTTTCTTCTTCCAGGCTCATAACATTACTGTTTAGCAGGTCTCCTTACTCTGCATGAGCCTCTTTTTTATCATTTTACAAAGGAGGGTTCACAGGAGAGAGCCATTGCTAGAGTTGGGGAAGGCATTCCCCTGATTGCACTGGTCTGTTTACTTACATGGGGAGCTCTGGTGGTGTAGCCTGTAGGGCGTTGCATTGCTCACCCAAACGCAGCACCTCTCTGAAGGGTCAAATCCACCAGATGTGCAATCTCCTCCTGTGACTTAAAAAAACTTAAACCCACTGCCATTAAGTCTGATTCAATCATAGCTGCCGCCCACACTGAGTTTCTGTGATATAAATCACAGAGCTATAAACACACCTCTTCTCAAGTTCCCACTGAAATGAAAACGCAACAGAGGGAGTGTCAGCCTAAGCTGGTTCCAACTGGGCAGTAAGAATGAGTGATGTTTACTTCTGAACTTCCAGCTGAGGTGTACAGATCTGTCATTCTAAAACAACTAAGAGAAGAAGCATAGGAGACAACCACAGAGCTTTGAGTTTTCCTAAGTGGACATCCAATGCATGTTTCCCAGGTTCCTGGCTGGTTATACTTGGTAACATAGAGGGGTCAGCGAGGAAGAAGAAGACCCTTAACAGGCTGGACTGACACAGTGGGTGCAGCAATGGTGAGACTCCTGCAGGATTGGGCAGGGTCTCCTGTCCACACAGCAGCTGTGAGCCAGTGCTAACTCAGAGACACCTCATGCCAACAAGGGGCTGCTGGAGGTGGAGGTGTTGGGGAGGGTGGCATATACATGGGCCCCCGCTCTCGCCTTTGGTTACAGATTGGAGATTGGAGGGAAGACTTTGAAGAAGTCAGGATGGAGGAGTGATGGGATGGAGGCAGGAGTGTCCCCAGGGCACATAGGCAGGAGGCTTCAGCAGGGGTTCATTTGCTTAAAGAGCTTAGACCAGTGCTTGGCTTCAACCCTGCACTTGGTGTTAGAAAAATGAGGCCAAGGCAGCGTGCCCGCAGAAGGCGGGACCTGCCTGGAAGACAGAAGTGAGGAAACTTCCGTTCAACTTGATTCCTCTGCTGCATGCGTTTGTGCTGGCTTTCTTGGTTAAAACATGGCTAAAAGCTTACGAAGTAAGTGGAAAAGGAAAATGCGTGCTGAAAAGAGGAAAAAGAATGCTCCAAAGGAGCTCAGCCGGCTTAAAAGTATTCTCAAAGTAGATGGTGATGTTGTAATGAATGACATTCAAGAGATTGCAACTGTTGTGGTACCCAGACATTACCAAGAGAAAATGCAGTGTGATACGAATGATGAAAAAGACGAGAAAGATGACATGAAAATGGAAGCTGACATTAAGAGAAACAAAAAGAGCCTTCTAGACCAGCATGGACAGTACCCAATTTGGATGAACCAGAGTCAGAGAAAAAGGCTGAAAGCAAAGAGAGAAAAAGGGAAAGGAAAAAACAAATCCAAAGCAGCAAAGGCAGCAAAAGGTTTAGCGTGGTAGACTCTGAAAGACTTTTAAAAGGCACCACATGCAGCAGGCGCTTGGTTAAAGTGTGTACAGGAATTTCAGGTGCCACTAGATGAGAACTATTAATTTCTGAATCCTAACTGGCCTTTATCTTTGATTTCAAATCCAGCATAGCTCAAGTTTGGTTTGTGAACTGGAATAAAATATTTTCTTTGGTGAATGAAAGCTGTAGAGATCTCTCTACTACCCAGGTGTTAATACACAACAAATTTATATCAACTATTAATCTAACTTTAATTGATAGTTGTTACAGTGTGATGTATGTAATTTGTAAATGTAAAGCAAGTGATGTTATGAAAAAATTAACTTAGAGTTATGTAAACAATTTAAAAATAGTATCTTTGGATCCTCTAATAATGCTTATTTGGAATTTGGATTTTGTTATAATTCAGAATAAAAGCTATTTTATGCAAAAAAAAATGAGGCCATCTTCTAGGGTTCCCACAAACCAGGAATTGGAGCCCAGCTTAAGGCAGTGGTGCTGGGGCTAGAGCCTGGAGTTCAGGGGCAGGTTCTGCAGGAGGTACATAGCTGATGGAGTCACATGTTTGCGGTGGAGGGGACACTCACCTCTCGTAGGACATGCGCATGGCCAGCAGGACCAGTGCCACTGGCAGGACTGCCAGCAGGTCTCGAGGGTGGGCATAGACCACGCCATCCCGGTCCTCCAGGTCCGCCCAAGTGTAGTTGGAGAGCAGCCAGAACTTCTCTTGCCACAGCCATTCATTCAGGCTGGACAACATGCTGTGGACATAGATTCCAGTTAACAGAGATGTGTGTGAGAGGGCCTTTGTATGAGGGGATGACTGATTGGAGGGGGCAGCTGAGAACTCTTCACTACCCATCTGTTTCCAGAGCTGAGGCTGGCTGGACATAAGACCCCTGCCTGTCCCTGGATACTCTCAGCTGCCCAGTCCACCATCTCTTAGTTCACTCTGGCCTCAGCCATCATCCCATCTACTCTCATCCCTGGTGGTCAGAATGAAAGCAAAGAATCCTTCATGGTCAGGGTTAAGGGCAGACAAGGCCATGTGGTCTCAGGCAAATATCTAACCACCTTGAATCACAAACTCATTTTTAAAATGAGTAAAGCATGACCTGCAGACAGTAGAGGCTTGAGTGTTGTTAGGATATCAAACAGGTTTCAGTTGAAGCAACCCAAGATAGACTAGGAAGAAAGGCCTAGAAATCTACTTCTGAAAATCAGCCAATGAAAATCTTGTGGTTCACAATATTCTCGTTCACAGCCATTACAGGGGGAGCAAGACTAGGAAGTTCTATTCCATTGTACATGGGGTTACTGTGGTCCAAGTCAAGTTGACAACATCTAACAACTACTACACATCTCTTTGTCCATCCTGTTAAGGCTGTACTAGTAAGGTACAAGAAAGTGTTTCTCATCACAAGGTAAAGGTAAACAACGCAATTGAAAAATGTGCACAGGATGTGAACAGACACTTCACAAAGAAGACATTCAGATGGTGAACAAACACATGAAGAAATGTTCAAAATCTACAGCTCTAAGAGAGATGCAATTCAAAACAACTATGAGATAACACCTCAACCCAGTAAGAATAGCAAAATTTAACAGAACAGCAAACAACAAATGCTGGTGAGGTTGTGGAGAAACTTGAACCCTTACTCACTGTTGGTGAGAGTGTAAAATGGTGCAACAACTATGGAAGACTGTATGGCACTTTCTCAAAAATTTACAAATAGAAATACCTTCTGACCCAGCAATTCCACTACTGGGAATATACCCCAAAGAAACCGTAAACATCATCCAAGCAGATCTATGCACACCCATGATTATTGCAGCTTTGTTCACAATAGCAAAGAGTTGGAAACAACCTAAGTGTCTATCAACAAACAAATGGATAGAGAAGCTGTGGTATATTCACACTATTAAATACTACGCTGCATTGAAAAACAAAGGACACACCGACAAAGGAGATTAATCAGAACTGACTTTGACAAGCACTGTGGCAATTGGACAATTAAAACAGACATTCGGATGGCAGGGAAGAAGAGCAAACTGGGGAGGAGGGTGGAGAGAATGGTGCGGCAATGAAGGAGTGAAAGCCCAGAATCCCTGTGAATGTTCATTGAAACTAATAAAATTTAATAATAATTAAAAAAATGCACAAAATAGATGAAATGAAAAAAAAGGAAAAACAAGGAACTCATGAAATATTATACAAAATGGGTGACCCTCGAGGACATTATGTTGAGTGAAATATCTCAGTCACAAAAGGACAGATATTGCATACGACCACTATTGTAAGACAGGACAGACATCAGGGTTGGGGGAGACTAAGAAAGATGAAATGAATTATGTATACTACATTGAAACAGATAAGGGAGAGAACTGTTTAAAAGAGATATATATTATTGTCATGACAGGAGTCCAGAACAAAGGCTGCATAGTGGAGTGGACTTGGCGGGAAGGATTGTATAACAATGAAAGAATTTTTCTTTTACTTTACAAAGAAGAGAGCAAACTTGGGGGTGGGGTGGGCAGGGAGAAAAGTGCAACACTGAATGAATGTAAATCCAAAATCTCTGGAAACTTTCATTAAAATTAATAATAATTAAAAAAAATAGAAAAAATGCTTCTTTGTCTGGTGTCTATGGAGAATTGCACAGCTCTTGAGAGGTGTGAAAACCAGTGGCCAGAAGTCAAGGGACATGAACTCAAGTCCTTGATGGCCCAGGAAGGTGCCTTCCTCTGCAGGATGCTGCATCTGTTCATGCAAAGTCTCTCTTTAGGAATGAATGCTGGCTCTTTCTCTTGTTAGAAGAGGCCTATTGCATTTTGGTAAGAGAGTTTGGTGGGTAAAAGAAAGACATTAAGAAGAGACAGCATGCCTTCAGCAGCAGCCACCCCATTGGGTTGCCCGGCCTAGCTCCTAAAGCTCCCCCCCTCCTTGGTGATTTGTAGCCAAGAGTCTGAACCCTCAAAATGGTCCCCTTCAAACTAGATGTGCATCAATCCATACATCCACCTATGCATCTATTCATCTACCTACCCAAGTGATCACCTACTTCTTCACCCACTCATTCAACCATCTCTCCACCAACCCCACCACCTACTCAACCAATCATCGATACACCTACTCTTCAGCTCTCTCATCCCTCCAGCCATCTATCCATCTATTTCCCTACCCATGATCCACCCATCTACCTATTTACCCCTTCAGTCAACCATCTACTCCTCGTCTCACTCAGCCAATCATCTGTCTACCTGTCTCTCCATCCACTCATCCATCCACCATCTATCCATCCAATCATCTACCTACCAAGCCAGCCAGCCACCTACTACTCCACTCAAGAACCCATCCATCTATCCATCCACTCACTCCCATCCACTCATCCATCCACTTTTCCATCCATCCATCCTCAAGGGTTGAGAGGAGGTCTTCATGCGAGAGGAGCTGACAGAGCCATCATGCACTGACGAAGGAACGTTTGCCTCGATGCTTCCTGATCTTGAGCCTGTTGGTCCTGATCCTGAATTGTACCCTGTTCCTCCATACTTTTTGAATCTATATGTTGAAAAGATCATTTGGGAGGTTGTACTTTATAAGGAAGAATGTGGCTTCTGAATTGGAGGAAGACTCATCAATAACTTGTTTTATGCAGATGACACAACCTTATTTGCTTAAATTGATGAGGGAGGGCCTGAAGCACTTGCTGCAGAGGATCAAGACTATAGTTTGTAATATGGATTGATGCTGAATATCAAGAAAATGAATATTCTTACCATTGGACCAATTGGCAGCATCATGATAGGTGGTTGATATTAACAATTTCAGCTTGCTTGTTTCCACAATGAACACTCTCGGCATCAGTAGTCAGGAAATCAGAAGACGAATTGCATTAGGAAAATCTGCTGTCAGGGATCTCTCCAGAGTGCTGAAGAGCAAGGAGACTAGTCTAGAGACTAAGGTACAACTGACCCAGGCCATGGTCTTTGCAGTTACAGAAAGCTAGACAGTGACCAAGGATGATAGAAGAATTGATGTCTTTGAGTTGTGGTGCTGGAGAAGAGTACTGAGCATACCATAGACTGCTAAGAGAAAAGGTTTGTCCTGAAGAGTGTGAAACCAAGCTTCTCCTTAAAGGCAAGGACTTTAAGACTCCATCTTACATACTTTGGGCATGTTGCCAGAAGGGACCAGTCTTTGGAGAATGATATCATGCTTAGGAAGGTTAAGGCATAGTGCAGGAGAGGAAGACCCCTGATGAGGTGGATTGACATCATGTCAGGAGAAAAGAAGGTAGGTGTGTCAAAGACAGTGAGATTGGCTCAGGATAGAGCAGGATTCACAGTAATTGTTCATAGAATCATTATGACTCATAGGTACATCAACAACAGCATGTTTCAGTGTGAGTTTCAAAGTATCTTCTGAGATCTTATCCATCCTTCCTTTCCTGTGTTTGTAATGACTCTTTGCTTTCTTCATGGATTATATCCTCCCCCACTTGTCTAGTCTTCAGACATTAGTGTTCAAAGCATCAAATCTATTCTGGAGATGGTTTTCAAATTCAGGTAGGATACACTCAGTGATGTATATTTTGGCTCACATGGACTTGTTTTCATTTACTTCAATTTTAACTTGATCTTGGTATGTTCCACAGTCAGAATTATAGTTGTATTAACAAATTACTTGTATGCATATGGATATCTTTCTATCATTGATAGCATTGTACTTCAAGACGTTGTTGTTGTTGTTAAATGCTGTTGAGACACTTGCGGCTCATAGTGACCTTATGTACAATAGCTCTGAACCTTGCTCTGTCCTGAGCCTTCCTCATCGTCCCCAACACACCCACCCTCATTACCCCAGTCACTGAATCAACTCATCTCATCCAGGGTCCTCCTCTCCTGCACTGTTCCTCCACCCTTCCAAGCATGATGTGCCTTTCCAAGGACTGGTCCCTCCTTGCAATATGACCAAAGTATGTAAGACAGAACTTTGGAATCTTAGCCTCCAAGGAGTAGCCTGGTTTCACCCTCTCCAGGATGCACCTGTTTGTCCTCCTAGCAGCCTGTGGTATGTTTAATACTATTCTCCAGCACCACAGCTCAAAGGCATCAATTGTTCTGCTATCATCCCTAGTCACTGTCAAGCTTTCAGATGCCTAGCAAGTAATTCAGGATAGTCTTTGAAATACCTTCTATTAATATCACACCATTCGTCTTCATTTTATCATGACTGAATAATTGTTGTTGTTATGTGCCGTCGAGTAGTTTACGACTCATAGTGACCCTATGTACAACAGCCCTAAACTGTGCTCTATCCTGTGCCAATCTCATTGCCTCTGACACACCCATCCCGATTACCCCAGTCACTGAATCAATCCACCTCATAGAGGGTCTTCCCCTCCTGCGCCGTCCCTCCACTCTGCCCAGCATGATGTCCCTCTCTAAAGACCTGTCTCTCCTTACAACATGTCCAAAGTATGTCAGACGAAGCCCCAGAATCCTTGCCTCCAAGGAGCAGCCTGGTTTAATCCTCTCTACAATGAATCTGTTTTCTTGGCAGTCCATGGTACATTGAATACTCTTCTCCAGCACCACAGCTCAAAGGCGTCAATTCTCCTTCTATCCTCCCTAGTCATTGTCCAACTCTCTGATGCATAACAAGTGATTGCAAAAACCATGGCCTGTATCAGGCAGACCTTAGTCTCCAGAGAGACACCGTTGCTCTTGAGTACTTTAGAGAGGTCCCTAACCGCA